AACACACATGAAGACGGATAGAAAGTAACTGAACAATTCAAGGAGTGAGTAATACTACTAATGGAAAGCAGATTTTTAGGTAATTTAGGAACATGTAGTACGCTAGAAAGGGTAAGGCTGAGTGGGAGAGATATGGTTATTTGGCCGGCTATGGTGGAGAAAGAGCCATTAGCTAGTCTCACCTTATCTCTCCCAGAGAGAAGATTGTATGCCTGAAATAAATTTGACTTACCGGCCATGTGGTTTGAGGCTCCGGAGTCAATTACCCAAGGGTAATCAGAGGTACGAGATGACACATGGAAGGCAGTGGCAGTGTTACCTGAAGCAGATGCAAAAGAGGTAGAAGGACTAGGACCAGTATCCATCTGGCGAAGAGTCCTACCATATAACTCCAAATGGTCACGAAAAGAGTTGATGATCTCTTCCTTAGGATCAGAACTGGGATGCCTTTCTTGAGTTACCATGGGACCAGTCTCTTGAGATGCCATATTAGCTGACTTATACCTTTTCTGATTCTACTGACTTGGTTTCTTGCCCTGATCAGTTGTTGACTTCTTACCCAAATCCTGTGACCATTTAGGTTTTCCATGGAGATCCCAGCAAGTATCTTTGGTGTCTTGCCTTCTGGCAGTGAGTGCACCAAAGCTTACTCTTATCATCTGTTCTCTTCTGAGAGTCACCCTTCTTAGAATCACCTCCAACATTAGTATCTGAACTTTCCCGGACTGCTAGAGCAACTGGCTCCCCCTCTGTAGAATTCATCACGTTTCTTCTACTTTCTTCTGACTGAACCAAGGCATAAACCTCCTGAACTGATGGCAAGTCTTTACTTCCCAAGATCTGCACCCTGATGGACTCATATGAAGGATTCAGCCCCAAGAGGAAGGCAAGTACCCATTGTTGAGATACAAGTGATTTGTATGCCTTTGCATCCTCATCACACTTCCAGTTAACATTCTGATAGTAATCAAGTTCTTCCCATATCGATGTCAGATCCAAATAGTACCCCGAGAGACTCCTTTCTCCCTGCTTACAAGTGGACGATTCAGCTTGCAGTTGGTATATCTTGGCGTAGTGTCTTTGCTCTGAATAGGTGGACTTTGCTTGTTCCCATATTTCACAAGCAGTTTCAACCCACATAAAAGTTTTTCTCACCTATGGCAGCATGGAAACCAGGAGCCAAGACATCACCATACTATTTTCTTGGTTCCATCTATCATATTCAGCACTTCTGCTCTTCGGTTACTTCACTTTCCCATTGATGTATCCTATTTTTCCCCTAGAAGTGATGTAGAGTTTTATTCCCCTAGAACATTGAAGGTAATTCAGACCATCAAAGGGAATAACAGCCATGGGGAAATTCATATCCACTCCCCCACTTACCCCATTTTGATTTCCAAAAATCCCTGAAGTAGCAGAATTCTCAGAAAACATGGTCAAGACAGATTTTTTTTATCAAAAAACTTCAACTTAGGATCCCTCCTTATATCAGAACAAAAAACTCCACACACAACAAGTGATTAGTCCACCCACACTGCAGTTTTTAGACTTAATCTGAGCACAAGACCAGCACCAATTTCTAGAAAAAACAAGATGACAGATCTGATTTTCAGACCTGTATGGAGTAGCAGTCCCAGCCTACTAGTTTTCTCAGCAGGTCTACAAGCAATAATCACAAGGAGAGATCCTTACACACAAGGCATCAAGCCAACAAGTAGAGAAAGTAGGTCATACGTGACCTACAAAGCCTTTCACAGGTACAGGATCACATGATCCAAAACAAACAGAGGAAAAACCTCACAAGGGTGTGCCAACATTCAGTGGTTCAGGTCCATTCGTTTTCCTCTTGGTACATGACCAAGGGAAGAGAAGAAATGAAAAGAAAAAAAATGGGGCGGTACTAGTTGCAGGTTTGATTCGAACAACCCAGATGTACTCCTCTGTTCCGCCCAGATTCAGCAACTTGGAGAATACACTTGATCACCCAGATTCTATGGCCACGCTCTGATACCATCTTGACAGTAAATTTGATTGAAGGTTACAACAAAGAGAAGAGAAGAGAAGAGAAGAGGAGAGAAGAGAAGAAGGAAGAAGTGTTGAGGCAATGGAACAGTGCTAGTGGCACCAGCTTCATTATAATATATAGGGCGAAAAAATAAGAAGGGAAATGACCCTTGTGCCCCTACTAAGTGATAGCACAATAATAGATTAAAATAAAAAATGCTTTAATCAGCCAAACAGACCCTAACAAACATAAAATCAATTATTTTAATACTTTCAACAGTATGCATATGATCTTATTAAGTTGGATGGTCTTACTGATGACAAGCAAGTTGCTACTCCCTTGGAATTGAATGTCAAGTATCCAAAATAGAGGGTCCATTACTTCCTGATGCTACACTCTATCGACAATTTATGGGTTCTCTCATTTGTTTTACTATCCTATTCAGTTGCGGGCCTATGCTGATGCTGATTAGGCAAGTTGTCCCGATACCAAACACTCTACTATAGGGTGGTGCGTCTTCATGGGTGATTCCCTTATTTCTTATAAATGCAAGAAAAAACAAACAGTCTCCAAGTCTTCTATAGAAGTAGAGTATAGAGCTATGTCATCTATCTGTAGTGAGATTGTTTGGTTGCAATCCCTCTTTGATGATCTTGGTGTTCATCTTTGTACTTTGATTTCTCTTTATGTTGACAACACCAATGCTATCAAGATTGCCTCGAATCCCATTTTTCATGAGAGGATTAAACATATTAAGGTGGATTGTTAGTTTATCTGAGACATGTTTCTTGATGGAGAGTGTGGAGAGTATTGATAAATTCTAATATTATAGCCCTTGTTGTATTGCATCTTTTATTACTTTGTTTTTTTTTTCTATCAACCCTATAAGGGCTTTCTTGTAATCCTTTTGGTCCATAAGGGCTTTCTTGTAAATGTATTAATGCTACTTTTACTCTAATGTTATTTCACTTAACAAAACCTGTGCATTGCAAATAAAATTTAAATCAATTTAAAATATAAATTTAATAAAAATTTATACAAATTATCCTTTTTTTTTGGTATTACATAGTACACAATATAGCGGAACTTGGGGTGGGAACAGAGCAAGGTGCATGCAAGGTCCACCAACTTAACCATAGAAAGGCTGTGTTTTATGGGCTTGATCCTATACCGCCATTTTTTGAGGGATGTTGAGTGACTAACTTAACCATTGGGTCATTGGATAATACAATTTATCAAAAAATACATAACCCAAAATAATTCTTAGGGTAGGTTGAGTTCATCTTAGCCCAATCCACAATGTCGTAAGACTCCTTATGCCTTGCTTTCTCTTAACAAAGCCCATTGCACCGCACGGGTCCTTGACTAGTATTCATCATCATCATCATCCATGTCTTATCCCAACTATATGGGGTTGGCTACATGAATCCTGTTTTGCCACTCTGTTCTATTTAAAGTCATATCCGTTGTTAAATTATAATCTAGAAAACTTTATGATAAGCTAGTAATTTTCTGATTGTATTCATGTTTATGGTGATGTCTTCTCACCTGAAAGAATGTACTCAATTTTCTTTTAATGAAATTTCATTTTATCACAAAAAAATCCATTGTTAAATTATTAGTGCTTAGATCATTTCTTACTACTTCTATCCATGTCCTTTTTGGTCTACTCCAAGCTCTTCTAGCACCTTCAATGTGTAACATATCACTTCTTCTAACTAGCACAGTTGGTGGTCTTCTATGCACATGCCCAAACCATCTTAGTCTACTCTCTCTCATTTTATCACTTATTGGAGCTACTCCTAGTTTCCTATGGATAAATTCATTCCTAATCCTATCCTTTCTAGTTTTTCCACTCATCCATCTTAGCATTCGCATTTCTGCTGCATTCATTTTCTGGATATGTTGTTTGGGTCCTCAACTAATATTGTGATAAAATATTTCCATAGTTAAGACTTTGTCTCTATTTTTCTCAATAATAAAAAAGACATCCATTAACAAAAAAGGATTTTACAGAAAAACTTAAGATATTGATGCAGGGGTAGAAACATGGAAATAATTTTTGGGGAAAAAACCAATATTCCAATTCCTATACCAATTTCAGAATTTTTGGGTTATAGAATATTGGTATTGTTTCATTTTTTTTTTTATTTTCTAGTTGTTGGTGCCTTAAGAACATGGTTTTGTTTTTTTAGATTTTTATTTCAAAATTACTATTTTTGGTAACTCTCAGATTTACTATTTATAGTAATTCTCATAATTACTATTTTTAGTAATTTCTGGTGTCTTTAAATTTAGTTAGTCTTAGTAGGACTAAAGTGTTACTAGATTTGTTTAGGAGTTGCAGTACTTGTTTAAGTGTCCTAACTAGTTACTTGTGGATTTGTCTTATTTTTTATAGCAATTAGGAGTTGTTTAGGATCAGTTTCTGAGTCCAAATTGAAGTCTGTAAGGGAACATCCGAGTTAATAGTTGAGTCTATAAATAGAGGCATTGTAATGGGAGTTGAGAAGGGTGATTTGATGAAAGAAAGTTTGGTTTAGTTAACTCTGGTTGCTGCCAGAAAATTTTCTCTTTTTCTCCCCTCTCTCATATCTGTTTCCTTTATAAGTGACCTGTCAAATTTCTGTTTACCCTAGCAGCAAGTATTCTACTTGCTTTTCTATTCATATTCTTCACCTCTAAACACCCACAGCATTCATTTAACCCCACAAAGCCCACCACCAGATCCTAAGTTAGTAGGGCCCTACCCATCCTACATCAGATATTTCATCAAAGAAAGAAGAAATAAAACTAAGAAGTACATCAGCATTGATCATCATGTATAAGGTTTGAAGTTGACAAAATATCATCTCCAAAAGGCAAATCATCCAAAACTTTGAATTCAAGATGTGTAATCAACCGCTCCATTATTATTAAATAAATATTGATTTCTTCTATTGTTTAGATACTTTGTTAAAAATCCTTATGTTTCACTTTATATTATGTCCTGCAGAAACTTATTCAGGAGCTCTACGTTTAGAAACAGCTCGTAAGTTCTTTCTTTAGAATTGCATTTTAAGTTTTGATTTAGATCAGAAAACAATGAAAAATGTGTTTGCTATTTTATTAGTTTGTTTGTTACATGTCAAATCATCATCTGACTATGTTTCTGTTGAAACTTACTTGATCTTGGTGTGGTATTGGACCTAGAAATGGAGCACAGCCATGCTTGCAAAGTTCTCAGTGTCGAGAGAAAAGTATGTTCTTTTGAAAATAAAAAAGTATATGTTGCTTTTTATGTTCTTTTTTTTTTTGCTTCAGATATTTGTTCTTGATGTTAACATTCTACTTTATGTTTCCAATAAATTATCTATTTTTGAGAATGCATTTCAAGCAAATGATTTTTAAGAATCAAACTTCAAACCATGCAAATGATTTTTAAGAATGAAACTTCAAACCATTTCAAGCCCCATGCAAATGATTTTTACGAATCAAACTTCAAACCATTTTAAAGATCCATTATCCATTTCAAGCAAAATAAAAATGAACATTTTCAAGTGAATGCATTAATAAGGTTACAACATGGAGATTTCAGCATTAAGGAGAAAGCAAAGAAAAAGAAAGAAGAAGAGAACTGGCCCAGTGTTTAGTTTTATTAATACTAGTCTAAGAGCAAGTGTTATGCACGTGTGCAAGTAAAGGGTAAAGATATAAGTTATCATTGTATAATTAAATTTAACTTTTATGACCTACATGGAACCCAAGGCAAGTATCAGAAGAAAAATAGCTTTTTGAAAAGAAAGGACTGTTTAAAAAGTTGCAGAAATCAGATTTCAAGAAGAGAGAAGAAGAAGAAGGTGGTGGCAACTAGGGTTCAGAGAGAGATTTTCGAACATAAGCTCCTATCTTACTCCCTTAATTCTATTTCATTAAGTTAAACTTTAGTAATTTATAGAGAGGCCCCTAGTTGGGCAGAAAATTAAAAAACATAACATAAGAAAGAATAAAGCCCAGATTAAGGCCCATTACAGCAAAGAACGTAAAAGATAAAAAAAAGATAAACAGCCTATGGTCCATTCGGCCCATCTTCTCTATACTCCCCCTCAAGTTGAGCATAGATGTCAATCATGCCAAGCTTGCCAGTATCATGCTGAAGTTTAGCCTTGGTAATGCCCTTGGTGAAGAAATCAGCTAACTGTCCTTCAGAAGTGATGAAAGGTAGACACCTCTCCAGAAGCTACTCTTTATCGAATGAAGTGTTTGTCAACTTCAATATGTTTAGTTCTGTCATGTTGTACTGGATTGTGAGTAATGTTGATGGCAGCCTGATTATCATAGTATAACATCATTGGCTTATCATGCTCAATAACCAGTTCCTCCATCAAGGATCTAAGCCACAGTAGTTCAGAAACTTCATGAGTCATGACTCTGTATTCAGCTTTGGTTGAAGATCGGGCAATAACTAATTGTTTCTTGCTCTCCAAGAGACAATATTACCTGCCACCAAGCTACAGTACCTAGAGGTAGATCTTCTGTCATCAATGTTTCTGGCTCAATCAGCATCTGTGTAAGCTTCAAGTTTCATATGGCCATGCTTAGCAAATAGAATTCCCTTTCTAGGGGAACCCTTCAAATAACACAAAATCCTCTCTACTGCTGCCATGTGAGTATCCCTAGGAGCATGCATGACTAATGCAACTAACAGCATATGCAATGTCTGGCTGAGTAATGCATAGATAGAGAAGTTTTCCAAGTAGTCTCTGGAAGACTCCCTTATCTTTCAACAATATTCCATCTGAAGTAGAGAGTTTATGACTCATATCAATAGGAGTAGCAACTGGTCTAGCACCCATCTTCCCTGTTTCAGAGAGCAAATCAAGTACATACTTTCTCTGAGAGATAAGGATCCCATCATTAGATCTAGCAACTTCTTTGCCAAGAAAGTATCTCAATTCCCCTAGATCTTTGATCTCAAACTTTGTATGAAGGAAAGATTTGAGATCATTAATCCCTAATACATAATTACCAGTCACATCAATATCATCAACATACACAATCGGGTAAACGGCCAAGGATCCTCTCCTCTTCACAAAGARGGTATGATCAGAYTGTGTCYGTACATAGYCRAAGCTAACAAGGGCAGCCCTAAACCTTTCAAACCATGCTCTAGGGGACTGTTTAAGTCCATAAAGAGATTTCTTTAGCCTGCAGACCTTCCCTTTCATATATGTTTCATACATCATTGGAGGAAGAGACATATAGACCTCCTCATGTAACTCTCCATTCAGAAATGCATTCTTTACATTCAGCTAATAAAGTGGCCAGTCTGAGTGTGCAGCCAGAGATAGCAGAACTCTCACAGAAGTCATCTTGGCAATAGGAGCAAAGGTCTCCAAATAATCAATCCCATATGTTTGTGTATAACCTTTAGCAACCAGCCTAGCCTTGTACCTTTCAATGGTGCCATCAGCATGATATTTAATAGTAAAAACCCACTTACAGCCTACTGGATCCTTCTCTTTAGGCAAATCAACCACTTCCTAAGTGTCATTCTTGTGCAGGGCATCAATTTTTGTTCTCATAGTATCCCTCCATTTTGGAATAGTAAGAGCTTATGACACAGACCTGGGAATTGGGTTAGAAGCAACAGAAGAAAGGTAGGCAAAATATGAAGGAGAGAGCAAACTATAAGAAAGGTGTTTAGAAATGCAATGTGCAATACACTTCCTTTTTCCTTTCCTAATAGCAATAGGGATATCAAAGTCTGGGAAGGATGACTCCAAAGGGGCTGTATCAATACCTGTTGTCTCTTTTGTGACTGGAAGTGTAGGAGGCTCATGTGTAGGGGAAACAATCTGCTTATTTCTGGTTCTCTGCCATTGATACAACCTGGGATTAAAAAGAGGACGAGGAGGTAAAGGAGGAGGGATAGGAACACTGGAATGAGAATGAAATGACTGATCCTCCCTTGACTCATTTGAAGGAGGAGGAGTCTCAACAGAAGACTTAACTGAGACAGGAAGGGGAAGAGCAAACAACTGTGGCAAATTATCCCCCTTTGGATAATGCCTCTCCTGAGAAGAATCATAAAAGGAAAAGAGCTCATCAAAGGTGAAATCCATTGAGACATACCGAGTGCCAGTCTTTGGATCAAAACAGTAGTAACCCTTTTGTGTATAACCAAGGAAGATACACTTGTGGGCTTTTGGTTCAAATTTATGTCTTTGGACACTTAGGATATGTATATAACAAGTGCAGCCAAAGACATGAAGAGGAATAGGAAAAAGATCCTTGCTCAGATGAAGAAGACTGAAGAGAGGCTTAAACCCCAAAACCCTAGATGGCATACGGTTGATTAGGTAGGTTGCAGTGAGAACAACATCACCCCAAAATTTTGTAGGGACATATGAGGCAAATAGAATACTTCTTGCAACTTCAACAATATGCCTATTTTTTCTTTTAGTAACTCCATTTTGTTCTGGGGTCCTAACATAGGAGTTTTGGTGAATACCCCCAAATCAGTGAGATAGCAGGTCAGGCTTTTCTCAAAATATTTTTTTGCATTGTTGGATCTGAAAATTTTAATTCTGGTATCAAATTGGGTTAGGACAAATTCATGGAATTGCCTCACAAGTTTGGGAACTTCATCATGGGACTTCATCAAAAATATCCAAGTGAACCGAGAAAGGTCATCAATGAACAAGATAAAATATTTGTAGCCACCCATAGAAGGTAAGTGGTAAGGCCCCCACACATTAGAGTGCACAATATGAAAAGGAGATATTTTATTGCTCAAAGGATAACTGTTTCTACAATGTTTTGATAATTCGCACGACTCACAAAGGAATAAATGACTTAGTGCAGAAAAAGAAAGATGACCCAAACGAAAATGACATAACATGGCTCGACTGATGGACTCTGTAGGTGTAGACCCCAAAGCAGCTTTTCCAGGTTATTCATGGCTCTGTCCAAGAGTGTCCAACAGATATATTCCATTCGCCTTATGGCCACTCTTAATTACTTTCTGAGACTCCAGATCCTGAAAAACACAGTATGAAGGAAAGAAGGTTACACAACAGTTCAATGACTTAGTTAGGCTACTTATAGATAACAAATTTGTATTTAGCTTGGGTACATGAAGAGCAGAAGGAAGTACCAAGGAATCTGTAGCCTTGATGGTTCCCTTGCCGGAGATAGGGGCAAGAGAGCCATCAGCTAGGGTGATTTTGTCACGGCCAAGAAGTAAATCATAAGAAACAAACAAAGTGGAAAGGCTGGTCATATGATCAGAAGCACCAAAATCAATAATCCAAGGGATCCTACGATTACCTGAAATAGTTGCATGATTGGCAGAAACCCGTATACCTAAATGAGCAAATGCAAAAGAGGTTGAATTTTTTGGAGGGTTGGAAGAAGAGGCCACACCCTCTAGGTGATTGATCATCCTCCCAAACTTCTCATATTCTGCCTTCATAGCTGCTAACTGTTCACTAGTAGTCATCTCTTCAGTTTGGTATCTATCATTATCTAGACCAGTAGCAATATTGGCACTCCCTGCCTTCATGTTATCAGACTTCTTTTGAAATCGAAGGGAGTTGCAGGGACTCCAAGTAGCTTACGGAAGAAAGAAATTATTTGTGAGTACTGTAACTCCCTTGGGTTTCACTCCCATATTAGCAAAGTGATCATTTAGACCAGCCCCTTGGACCTGGACAAGTCTCCTGCTTTCTTCACTACTTACTAGGCATAGGCTTGAGACAGTGAAACACTATCCTTCGATAAAATATTTTGCTTTGTGATGTCATACTCTGGATTCAGTCCTGTCAAAAACTCAAACACCCTGTTTCTCTCAACAAGTTTCCTATAGGTCTCAGCATCATTAGTGGTGTCCTAGGCTGCAGCTTCTATCAAATCAATTTCTTGCCATAAAGACTTCAGAATTGAGAAATACACAGCTAATGGTTTCTCCCCCTGTCTCAAATTCTTCACATCACTTCTCAGCTTGTAAACCCTGTCCACATTTAATTTCTGGGAATAGGTTTCAGCAACACTATCCCAAATTTCCTTTGCTGAATTCATTCACAAATAGTGCTGACCAATCTGCGGTTGCATTGAGTTCACAAGCCATCCAATAATAGTATAATTTTCTTGCATCCATTTTTCATATGATGGATCATCTTCCGAAGGAGCCTTCTTGCTCCCGGAGATAAAACCCCATTAGCCTCTACTACAGATATGAATTTTTATTGATTGTGAC